ATCCCAAGCATGCTGCATCCATTCCATCTAATTCTCGTCGCGTGCCAGCCACTGCAGCGCGAATCCAGCAAATATCTGTGGATCTACAGGCATTGCAACCCCTCCTCTGTTTCAACAACCTTGTAGAGGTGCAGCTTGCGGACGGTGTGGGCTTCGACCTCGATGATGCTGCGGTGGAGGCTCTGGCACGTGCATGTCCCCGCCTCGAGCACCTGTCCTTGCGGGATGCCGGCCTCGAATATCTACCATGGGCGCATGTAACTCTGGCAGGTCTTGTTGCGTTCGCCAAACACTGCCCTCAGCTGCAGTCCCTGGGGCTGGCTGTCAACGCCACAGTCGTTCCAGAACGAGGCACGGTGGATATCATGATCAGGCAGAATTCTCTGGCCATTCTGGAAGTCTCGAACCTTCCTATAACGGCGGAAATTCACGACGAGCGAGGCGTTGCGGAATTCCTGTCCATAACTTTTCCAGCGCTGCGCAGGACTTGTGGCTGGCCTAGTGTTGAGCGGGTGCTTCAGGAAAGGAGGAGGAGAGGAGGAGAAACAGGGCCCCTTCTGGGGAACTGAAAGGAAGTTGGAAACGAATGATTCTGGAGTAGAAACTAAAACGGGGTTGATTACCGCCTGCGGACAAGTAGATAGCTTCTTACGACCTGTAACAATTTATTTTCCTAAACAATGTCGGAAAAATGCTGATTTCCTTGCAACGGCCTGAGTCAGCTTGGGGCCTGGAGGGACCTCGAGAGCACTTGCGAGTCACCCAGCCACGACTTCGAAGCCCTCACAAGTCATCTCAAGATAAGCGGGGGAGTCTCAAGGAGTCCCAGGCCATGGCAAGGTAAGGAGACCTTGAGACTCAATCTCAAGACTCCAGCGCACCGGCTCGAGCTGCTCGTAAACCCCGCCGTCGCGAAGTGTAATACTGATAGACTTCATACTTTGAATTTATACAACTCGTTTTCACTCGTGATTGCTCCGGCAGGAAATAGATTGGAATAACGGACGACATTGCTGTATGTACTTGAGCTGCTCTAAGTTTTGTTCCCATGGAGATGGTGCAAAGGGATGTTGCATAGCTGCAGACTCTCGTTCAACCAACGGCCCATTTCTTCCCGTTCCGGAGTGCTGGCCATCAGGGAGCTGCGGGATTCGAGGTTGCTCAAGCCGACCCACCGGTGAATTGGGTCCCACCAGTTGGTCCCGCATGAGGCGGGCGCGTTTTGGGCGGGGAGTAGAAGCGGTCGCGGTGCTGACGGGGGAATCTCTCTTGTGTTCTAAAAGTATGTTAAACGATGCGGAAAATAAACTGATAAGTGGACGCACTTTCGCCCTTCAGCCTTTGTTGGATCTCGGAAAGATCTCGTTCAATACCCGAGAGGCGACTGTCGAAAGTACGCTCTGGACGACGTGCAGCGTCTACCATAGTGTTCGAAACGGCTGAGAGAGGCGTATGGCGGGGCAGAGGTGAGTTAGGCGCAGAGGAATCATCTGATGAGGATGACCGAGAATTGTCGCGTGCGCGACGACGAGCTTCTCGCACGGGTTCGGAGTCGGAGACATGTGTTGTGTCTGAGGCTAGACGGCGAAGGATACGAGGCATTAATATTGGGTGCAAGGTGAGCTCGAGTTGCGAGTTGTGGAGATGGGTGCGCATACTAGGATCTCGTCAGTGAGGTGGAGTAATGATGTCATTGTTTGGTACAGCTATATCAACCAACGGTCTGTGGCGCTGCAACTCCACCGCTCTTCCCTCTCTACCACCACCATCCCCAGCGCTCGAGTCCATCGCTATCGTTCGACACTGGTCTGGGATTCCTCCCTTGCCGCGACAACTCACTGATCTCGCTGCCAGAAGGTTGATTCTCGAACCCAGTCTCATCGTAACCGCCGGCACAGGTACGTCGTCCGCACACGTACTATTCCGAGCTCACTGGGTTCCAGTTTGTTTCCTCTACCTCGGTCAGGTATGTGTCAGATCTTCTCTTCAAGTTATCGTCCTAATTCTATTGCACTCAGAACTATTAGGTGCTTAACAATTATGTGTGTTCGAGTGCTTCATTTCTCCTGACTCGCTACTAAATAAGACTAGAATCCAGGCTTACTCCGCTGGGAACCGTCCCCGTACTCTACTACTACTACTACTATGTACTCGTAGTAGATTAATAGACTGATTTGAATAATGTTTGTATCTCGAATGTAAAGTATCGTGAGCTGAGCAAGGGTGTATACAGCGTGGTGCGGTGTGGCTTGTGAAACCTTGAATGATATTGGGACATCGGTTGTACCCCGAGCGCCTTGAGAGGGCCTGGGAGCCACTGCGTGACCTGGAAGAGCTTACGGATATCTTACCTCTGTGCTGCAAGGCACTTAAAACCAAATGGCCTTGTGGTGTCCTGGGACGCGTCTCAGGACGTTTCAAGTCGATCAAGATTTTTCCGACAAACACACGTGAATCCAAGGAACATGCATTGACATGGGCAGTTGAATCAGCAATACCTCATACACTCTTTGAACTTCCCACACAACGAAGTTTTGAAAGCCTTCTGGTATCCGGACAGAAACGATAACATGAATAATTACCGCCCAGGATCGCTTCCGCAACAATGTAAAAGGCTTTGAATAGGAGTCCTATCATTAGCGATGTGCGTTTATTGTTCGACCATCCGACTCAGCTTTCAGGCCTGGTTAACGGCAAAGAACTGAACCGTGGGAAAGCCATCAATTATATTTAAACCGTGAGAACCTGTGGGCCGTGGCCCCGGCATCTCCGATATCTGCCTCTATATATCCCAAGGGCACGGTCAGTGGCAATGATTGTGTGCTGGTTCCCCATAGCTATTAGCTCTGGTCGTCGGGGGTATCAAGACAGTTCTAAGGCGTCAACGAAATTGCGGGCTGAAAATGATGTTCGGTCCGATCAGCCCCTTTGGCAAGGTTTTTTTGGAGGTACTTAGCTTTTCCACAGCTGGCGCGGGTTCTTTCAATGCACCATACATCACTTCCGGATCTGAGGGCTGAGGAAGTTGAGGATGAATGCATTGTTGCCAACTTGAAATCACTGACATGGACACACCATTTAGAGTGTGGTGGTCCCGCTGGTTGAATTTCGAGAGGTCGAACTATTTTTCTGGTAGGTGAGGGATGTGGGAAAATGAATCCCATGAGTGAACGCGTCACCGAAATTTTGCACCGTTGTCTTTGAAATAGGTGATGGAGCTGAAAAATCGCCCCGATACGAAACAACAGACTAGACTGCTATTGGAGTCAAGACATGAGCACGATCCTTGTTGACTCACGAGTAAGTAAGCCGACATGAAGATCGCTACCTTGTCTTTGGCGGAGTAGAGTGGGAGCTAAAAGGAGAAGCATGATACCCTACAATTCGGACGCCGGGAATCGGACCCGATCTTCCCCCTTGGAGGCTACATCCGACGGGTACCCAATTGAAGCAAGCGTGCGCCGTGCACCACGTCCGATTTATCTTCTAGGATCTGCAAGTGATTATGAGCGAGAAGGTTGCGGATGAGCGATATGAGTGGATTGTGAGTGGAAAGAGAACTCACCAATTTATGTAGAATGTGGAGGAGTTCTAACTTCTCCCTTTTCAGCATCGGCAGTTCAGCCGATAGTTGAAGCAGACGCATACCAGCATTGAATAAAACGTCGCAGCAATTACTGTGCATTCTCGAACTTGTAAGTAGGCTGACGACAAAAATATGGAACCACAGTTTGAATTCGGACGCCAGGAATCGAACCTGGGGCTCCTGCTGGGCACATCCGAAGGGATCATTTGAAGCAGACGTGCACCATGCACCACGTCCCATTTATTTTGTACGATCTATAACTGATTAAGAACGAGAAATTTATGGATGAGGATATGGGTGGGAAGAGAACTTACCTGTCTAGAGTGTGGAGGAGTCCTCGCTTTTCAGCATCAGAAGTTCAGCCGATAGTTGACGCAGACGCATACCAGCATGAAATAAAACGCCGCAGAAATCTCTGGGCATCCTCCAACTTGAAAGTAGGCTGACGACAAAAATATGGAACCACAGTTTGAATTCGGACGCCAGGAATCGAGCCTGGGGCTCCTGCTGGCACATCCGAAGGGATCATTTGAAGCAGGCGTGCGCCGTGCACTACGTCCAGTGAATTCTACATCATCTGCTCTTGATTAATAGGGTGAGCGTTGGCGTTGTGCATGCACATACCAATGCGGCGTGCAGAATTTGAACTAGATTGCTTCTAGAAGTGAAGTTGTTCGCACGGGGTTGAAACTCGGAAGCGATCAGGATGGAGGGCAGGAAATTCCCGATCCTTCGGTGGCCCTGGCGGCGGAAAAACAGACGCTAAAAGAATCTGCAGCAATGAACAATTCGGATGCCAGGAATCGAACCCGGTTTTCCTGCGTGAATTTCCTCCCGGCACTAACAAGTCATTCAACGCAGGCGTGCACCATGCACCACGTCCGATGTATTCAATATCATCTGCAACTGAATGATAGTGAGAGGGTGGATGAACGCACTAATGCGACTTACATGTTGTCCCGCTCAGAAGTTCAGCTAGATCTCGTTGGCTGCGTTTCAGTTTGGTTGATATGCGCGCCTGGGGGTTAGAACGATGAACCAGGATAGACGGAAATGGCATCATTGAATTGTTTTGGGCAGGGCTGCAACCCAAAACGATGCTTTGAAAATGGCTATCCTCACCCGGTACCGCGGTTCTGTTGCTTAAAATTGAGCTTGCAGCCAATCAACGCAGGCACGCACCGCGCACCACGTCCGATGTGTTCCGTACCATCTGCACGAATGAATTTCGACCTATGTTCATACATTGCTCCGGAGCTGAACAGATCTCGTGGTTCAACTATGAACAAGTTTATCTGCTCGCCCGGTAGATGGAGTGAATCGGTATAGAAGAAGAATGAGATACTGTCGACCGTGCGGCGTGAATTGTTCGGGCAGGCCAAAAAAAAAAAGCGACCGATCTTCGCTCGAGCCATTCAGACGCCGGGAATCGAACCCGAGGTTCCTGCTGAATGTTTTCATACCTCTGCCTCATTTAAAGCAGATGGGCACCATACCCCACGTCCGAGTTCTCGTAGTAATTTGCACCGGGCTGCCCAAGTCAACAACTGAGTGAGTTTGAATCGGGATATTGAGTATTCAGCTGTGAGGACAGTAGCAAGACATTAGATCAGCGGTACGAGGGTTTCGGCGACTTCTCTGCGTCTCGATGCATTGGTTTTAACCTGGCTGGGCCTGAAATGGAGACTTGCTCGAGAATTGGGTGGGTGTTGATGACAAGAGACTGCTGACGTGCTTGGGGCCACACGTGGCGGAGCAAACAACGCAAAGCAGTGGTTTCCTTTTTCGTCTTGCACGGCACGGTCCGTCGGCACCAGCTTTCGTTCAACGTCTGGCTGCAGCTCAACCTTGCTCACCGCGATTCCATTCTCTGCTTCCGAATACCGTGTATTCGTCAGTGCCTTTGTCACGGCTCACAAAGTTCGTCGCTCGCCGTTACGCGTTCACCGTGACGGAGGTGCTCGACCTCTTCATCTCCGTCTGAAGGCCTGAGCTCTACAAGTTATCTCCCCCGCAACGCGCTGCATGGAGTCGCTTGCGCTGTAGCGCCCTTCAACACCAGACGGCCTCAATCCGGCTTTAGGAAGCAGGGAGCAGGGAGCGTTTGTGTGTCGAATCACTCAGGCATTCCCAGCAGGCCCCAAGGGCATCAAGCGGCACAGCTCGAGCAGACCGCGTCTCGCCGCAGCACATCTTTCCCACTACGCGACCATGCGTCGGTTCTACCTCGTGCTGCCGTGGAACGCCAGACGATACTTGCACTCTCGGCACTTTCTCCACACCGTCTGCCATCGATGCTCTTCGCCTTCCGTCAGATGTTAGAGCAGCACCCCCTCTACCTCGCCCATAATGCGCTCGTCATAGCCATCCCTTACCTGCCCCACATCTGGCCGTCTTCCGCGCGCCTCGTGTGGTCACGTCTGTATCCAAAGAGCTGTACACAAGGCGGAAACACTGCTGTAGGGGACGCTGTTGATGGGGAGGAGGAGAAGGATGAGGAGCCGTAGCGGCGCGAATCGAAGAGGGAGTCCGTGAAGGGGGCGAAGGATGACACAGACAACGCCCCCAATTTCCTGTTGTATGATGCCTGTCGGGGGCGTTGCTCGTTGCAAACGCTGCACTAGCCAGTTCCTACCCGTCGACTGGAAAGGCCCGGAACCGCTGTGGCGGCGGCGGCGGACAGGGTGCTCATGCTCGTAGATGGTATCCCACGCAGCATCGGTCGTACCGTCGGCCTCTGGGCAAACTCCGTTACGGATTCCGGATTCGGGTGCATATTCCTACTCAGCCACTCCGCCCCAAACCCGACTCGCAACGACTCCTCAAGCACATATGTACAGTACGCATTCACCTCCCCGCCGCCTCCCTCACCCCACACTCATTTCTCTTCTCTTTCCAGGCATTTTTCATACAGGATGTCGTTGCACAGCCAGCACTCGACATCATCCGCGATATTCTGCACCGGCACCGCTTCACCAGAGCTGGCGCTTCTCACAGACCGACGTGGCGTGTTCTTCGAAGCTGTGGGCATCGTCACCGCGCGTGTACTGGGGCCGTTGCCCCGGGATGGCGCTTCGCCGGGATCGCGATGCGACACGTCACGAGCGTCATACGACAAGGTGGATGCACCTCCAGGGACGTGTTCCACCCACCCCGTTGTCACCAGCACTGCGCGCCCCGCTCCCACTGCGCGCATTTCGCGCTTATGCAGCGCTCGACCCTTAGGACGCCTTATCCTCTTGTCATATTTCTTCCGACACGACATCCGTCTTGGACCAGCGCGATTTGCCCCCTACTGCCGCTCCCAGAAGGGTGCGATGCCCTCTTCGATGCGTCGAGCTTCGCTGCTCTTTCTGTCGCAGACGGATATCTGAGTTTCGGGACCGGGATACGGGAGCATTATACGACATGCATGTCCACACCTTCCGTCTTCCTCACCCCCACCATGACGCTCTCCCTTGATGCCTGCCGCACGGTTTCACCATTCGCGCGGATCCCGCCCACGATGTCGTAGGAGCGTGTGCCTACTCCTTTGTCTGGCCGGAATACGGGACGCGGAGAGGGCGGATACTGACAGAGAACACTCAAAATACGCTGAATACACTGCGTACGTATACTTTCTCCTCTTCCCAGGAATGCACCTTATGTAGCTTCCTCTTTCAGCACGCTGATCTTCCGACACCTGGAACACCAGCCGCGCGCGACGTTCGTCCGCTGTCGTGTATGGCCGAGCGCGACTTCCGTCGCGGCGCATGAGTGCCAATTGGCACACAGAGTCGTTGTTATTGGGCCGCATACAGGTACGCCCTTGATCTCCTTTTCTCTGGACCGCGGCCAAGGTTCCTCGTAGAATGTCCGTCTGCTGCACAACATAGGCCGCCACGTCGCACGCTGCGCCCTGTTTCACGCAATGGAGCACCTTTCACCACCGCGGCCCGGTGCTTATTCCCTTCTGGGCGGTACTACACTTCCATCGACCAACACGTCTTTGCTCTCTATCCTCGTCATGCGCCTCTCATCGACGGCGTTACCCTCGAGACCCACCGCACTCGCACTCGCCGTGCGTCGTACAAATCGCTTCTTCGTCTCAATCGTATGCCACGTGGCAGCCATAGACGACATCTTCGCCCATCTCACCCACCCAGCACGGTTATCCTCGCGGTCCCGTCTTTTCGCGGCTTAGACGACGACCCCGATCCCACCTTGGTCATGCCGCCAAACCGTAGCGCATTCCTGGCTAGTGCTACGCGCACCTTGGGCACAGCGATGATCATCGGCGTCTACCTCGCATTCTGTAGAAGCTGCCGCAGCTTTCGTGGGGATGGCAGAGCTTCCACAAGCTTCCACATCGTCGTTACCCGATCCCCGTGGCGTTCGCTCGCCGCCGATGCTCGACTCGTCCGGGAGAAGAAATCGGGATGTATTCTGGATTCGGATCAAGTCACAGCTGCACAGGGCGGTCCTATGAACGGCGCTCTTCACAAGGATCTTCAGTACCGCCACCGCACCGTCTTTGCTGCAACAAACCTGTTTCGCGGCACCTAGGTCTCACCCCATCGACGCGTTTTTCGCGTTCCTGGTCAAGATTTCTCGATGCAGTGAGCTCTTTTTCGCGCCTCCAATGCCATCACCCCTACGCCGCCCTGTACACTCCTGTCATCCACGACCTCTTCACTCTGCCGGTACCGCGCCCACTCTTAACAACCTATGGCGCTCGTCCAGTCGCCAGTGGTGTTATATAGCGAGCAGACGTGTCGCGTTTGGGCGACGTACCGAAGATAATGACGAGCGTTGGTCGAGCAGACATCGAGCTCTCGTGTGCGCTGCTGGAGCTCACTGACGAAAGGGCCGTGCTGGAGCAGGCAGTCGAGGACGACACGAGGGGGGCGGTTACAAGGACGGGGAGGAGAAGGTCAAACCGGAGAGGAGCAGGGGACTGACCGAGAGACTGCCGATGGCGAGTTTGGGGGATAGATGGAACGTGTGTACAAGTGATGAGATGTTGCGGCGCGTGGCGGGCGGTGCTCACAGATCGTTAGCGTCCTTCAAACACGAGTTGTGTGGGCATCGACTCGGCGTAATCGCCTTCATCACCTCACCCATCACTGAGCGCTTCCACCCGCAAAAAAGTATTCAGCCTCTATCATGGACTGCCTGTACTTGGACTGCTCCTCGTCTGAGCCCCGCACAAGTGCACCGTCGGTGCAGCTCCCCATTTCGTTGCCACCTGCCACGTGGCAATCGTCACCCTCTTTGGCGACGACCTCTTCGTGCCCAAATGCTCTCCTACGTCGGGGGTGCACTCTCTTTCCACTGTGACGCTTCCCGGTATGCGTTGCGAACCACCGCCTTCCTTGTCTTCGTGGGCGAGTACTGCCTTTGGCGACGAGTGTCTCAGGGCTGTCTCCCCTGTGAATGGCTTCGCGTCGTCGGGCATGGTCCTCTCCACCTCTGCGCGCCAGCTTCGATGGGCGAATCGCCCGCCCGCCTGTTCCGCCGCGGCGAATATGCATCGTCTCCATCGGCGCTGCCTGTGGTCCCGTCACCGCCAGGGTACCGTTTCGGCTATCGGCCTGGGACGAGAGAAAGTCCTTGTAACTCGGAAAGTATGTCTGTCGATCTTGCTTTCCTCATATCGACACTCATGTAATAAAACGCGCTCGTCCTTCAGCCCTTTCCTCCGACGCGCGTCCTTGCAGCTCGCCGCTTCGTCCCTGCCGCCAGGCAAGTGCACTGCCCCTGGGGCGTCCTGCGCGGTATTCCTCCTCCTTCCGTCGCGGCCCATCACTACCACGGATTGCGGCTGGTGTTAGACCTTTCCCCTTGCCGGCGCTGCATTTTTCCGACGCAGAGACATCACTACCTTTCAAGGCTACCTCGACATTCGGCCTTACGTACCTGCACGACGACGACGATTCCGACGTGCTCTTACAACACGCGCCTCACCCAGTGCTCCATCCTCGTAGTTCCTCCTTTTCGCACTTCTGTCCCGACATGGCATAGCTATCGACCATCCGCAGTCCGCAGCGACGAGTTACACGGGCCGTCGAGACGCAGGAAGCATTCATTCGCGACAACCTCCAAGCTGCGCTTGGACGACTTTCCTTCGCCACTACTCAAGCCCGTTGTCCGGCCGCGAGACGGTGTCTGACGAAGGCGAAGATGCAGGCGATGGTGGGGACGACGACAAGGACACGGAGGACAAGCTCAGAGGAGTGTGATCTATGCCTATGCTGAGTTACGTGCGGCGCCCTGGACCAGTTAAGGCTGCGAGCTGCGGTAAGCCGCCAACAACGCGCCAACGAAGGATGCGGGCCATTCAAAGACGTCGATGCCGTTGGGCGGCTTTCCCCATCGTCTACTGCACTTGCCAGTCTATGTACTGCCACCACTCCCAATGGGCTCCCTCTGCATCGAAACTTCCATATTATCGTACGCACAGGGACAGTATCCTCGATTCTACGTGCATCTCTTGCCGTTCTGTATTTTACGAACGCTACCTTAGAT